TATCCAATAATTGGCATGGCACATAAGCTGCTCCGCAGGGAAAGTACGTGGTTGTGTTGGGAATTTTAAGTGGATTCTAAAAACCAAAATATGTTTGTGTTTTCTCAGATGTGCTGAAAGAATTTGGTTTCTATTTGGATAAGCATGGACCCACTATTTTTTCTTGGCTGGGTCCCATACCATTTATGATAGTGAGCGATCCACAAATTATACAGGATATTTTTACATCCCCGCATTGCATCAACAAGGGCATCATCTACAAGGCAGTCGATGATGGAGCTGGCTTGGGACTGTTCAGCTTGACAGGTATGCAAAGCGTCGCAATCGTTGTAAATGAGAAAATACACAGACTCTTGTCCAGATCCTCGCTGGAGCGTACACCGTAAGCTACTGAATCCGGCATTTGGACACAAAGTGTTGCTTAGTTTTCTGCCCATTTTCAACCACGAGACGAAAGCCCTTCTTGAGCTATTCGACACATTGGTGGATGATGGCGAAAAGGATTTGATACCGTTGCTGCAATACTTTACCTTGGGCATAGCAACGCGTGAGTTAAGCATAAAATAGCTGGACACAAACCAGTCGCTGCATTCTATAATACTTATATACGCATTTTGTTTTTATTTAAGTACAGAAACCACAATGGGAAGTGATGTGAAGTTGGTTGGGGGCATTAACAACAATCGGCTGCTCGAGGATTATCAATGGTAAGTAATATCGGCCATCTGCATAAATGAGTTTTGCTATCCATTAATAGTGTTTTGGAAACTATGACAGATATGTGCTTTTCACCATGGCTTAGTAGTAAAACGTTACGCCAACTTTTCGGCAAGGAGGAGCGTTACTCGAGTGCTAAGTCAGAGATACGTGGGTTTATCAGAAAGGTAGTACGAAGCATCCACTACAATTGTATGGAAATTAATAGCCCCCTTATTGTTTTAGCTAATAGAAAGAAAACTGGCCAGAGACGCAGAAATTGCTGAAAAGGGTAATCCTTCCCCCTTAGATAAAAACATATTTTTAAACCTAGCAACAGATCTGCTGAAACGTGGCATCTTCAGCTGGAAAAACGTGGAAGATGAATCAAATGTTATTGTCTTTGGAGCTTTTGAAACATCTGCTAACACGGTCGCCTACACATTAATTCTACTTGCGATGTTTCCCAAATACCAGGAGAAAGCATTTGAAGAGATTCTCGCTTTGTTTCCCGACACTGGCGACTTTGAGGTAACCTACGCGGATACACAGGAAATGGTCTATTTGGATCTTATTCTAAATGAATCGATGAGAGTGATTCCGCCTGTGCCAGTCGTCTCTCGGCAAACGTCCCAGGACGTGCTGCTTTCAAGCGGAGTTGTTGTTCCAAAGGGTGTTCAAATTGCCATCGATATATTTCACCTGCATCGCAGTAAGCAAGTTTGGGGTGAGGACGCGGAAACATTCAATCCGGAACACTTTCTGCCCCATCATTATCAAAATAAGCATCCATACGCATTTATACCTTTCACAAAGGGCATTCGGAATTGCATAGGTAAATGTATATTTACTTAATACAATTAAATTTTGACTTATTAGTCAAATATTGATTTTATTTTCAGGCTGGAGATATGCTTTAATATCTGCAAAAGTTACATTGGCGAAACTGCTAAGGAACTACAAATTCTCAACTAGCTTTAAATTTGAAGATCTTTATTTTGTTGAGGATATAACTATAAAACTTAAGACAGTGCCGCTACTGAAGCTACAACGGAGAACTTGATAGCATATGCTATTATTCTATTTTCTTACATTATGTAAATATGAGTAAATAATTGTTATGAATATACTTTGAATCTCTATAAGTATAAGAAAATTCAATTATATATAAAAAAAAAATTCTGTTGGTATTTCGTTTGCTAAATATATGGTGTTTTTGACTTTGAATGTATTTTTATTTAATATAGTTTTGCTTTCACTTGGGTTGGTTTTAGCAATTTTATTTACATGCTAAAAACAAAGTTCGTGTTTAAATAGAAATAACGCATAAATTGGTTTCAAATGATGCCGCTTCTTATCGATAGTTTCAGTGCTATACAACACTATTTTCAGGCGCTGCACTATATAATAATAGTTATCGCAAAGCGCGAATTATCGATATTTGTTGTCATATTGCCGGCTGTAATATAATTGTAAATATTCTTTCAATTGTGCTGCAATGTCGCTGACAGATGTCTTGGAACTGAATAAAACGGAACTGTTTGCCAAAATACGCAATGGCCTACCGATTGTGCCGCAAACTCAGAACCTACTTGACTGCAAAGATGATCTATTGTACGCATGGAACTCAAGCGATTCCTGCTTGCTGGTCACAAATTGGCGCGTAGCGTTGCTTCAGCCGCAACCAAAGCGTGCCAAAGTCAGCTACCAGAAACTAATACCATCCAACTCAATTGGTCTGAATGTCGATCGTGTTGTGGTCTCCAATGAGGGTTCGCTTGTAGCGCTGAGTGGACCGCGAGGTGTGACAATATTGGATGTACCACGCCGCAGTGGGCCGGACGGCTGTTTCATGGATGGCAAGCCGCAAATCACGTGCCGCACATACAATCTGGATGCGCTGCTGTTTCAAAACAATCCTCAACTGGAGGTGCGTCAGCTGCGTTGGCATCCCGACTCCGTCTCTGACTCCACGCTGTTGGTGCTGCTTTCCAACAACACAATGCGCGTGTACAATCATGCAAAGCTGCGCCATGTGTGGAAGGTTGGTCCGTACACAGTCAAAACTGGTGCAAATACATCTCTATCGGATTTTGGTGAAACTTCCGTTGACTTTGATATTGCGCCGGCTGTTAAGTCTAGCGCCAGCGATGAAACAAGCACTAGCCTCTCTACTACACACAACAAAACGCAGTCTGCTGCCAAAACGGGCAAGGAGAAGGTGGAGTGGCCCATTGTTATATTGCGTGAGAATGGCAACATATATATGATGCTCGCAGGCATCGATTCGGAAATAACGCGTTTGCAGGGACCCATTACCATAACACCGCAGACGAGCGCCAACTATGGTCTGGAGTCGTGTGCTCTGCTAATCATACCATCTTTACCGCCCACTGTGATCATTGCCGAGTCAACGGGCAAGCTGCATCATGCGCTTTTGCTGGAATCGGAAACTAAAGAGCACTCGTTCAGCGACGTGGATGAATGCTTGGTCATCGAGCCATCGGAGTGGACCTTGCACGTTACTGAAACCGTTGAGCTTGAGTTAGGCCTCTCCTCGGGAACTGCTAATGATACAAACGGTGCCTATAGCTGCCCTATCCACCTGAAGCGAGATCTGATCAACGAGATGCGTTATTTTGCCTATCACAATGCTGGACTTCACTCGATAACTGTTAACTTCATATCTGAGCTGCAGCGCTTCTTGGATAGTGAGGCCGAAGACGATCAGCTGGTATTATCGACACCCTCTAGTGCCGAATATATTTTGTGCACTAAATTTGATTCAAGCGATCGCGTCAATGCTGTCTTTGGCATCGCCCTGATGCAAATGCCAGCTGGACTCGTGCTATTGCTGAGCAGCGGTCAAGTAATTAGCCTTAAGCTGGTCATCGATGCTCAATTGCTGGTTACGGCCAAGCAACAGTTGCAGCGCACAGCCACAAATGATGCACTTGGTCAGCAGGGTGAGAGTCCTTCATTTACGGACACAATCAAAGCATTGCTGATGCGTAGCGTAAGTCAACCGATATTGGCCGACAAGATGGCATCCTCCTCCGCTCACGAGCGCTATGAGCTGCTCAACCAAGCCATAGAGGTGCTGCGCTCACAATACCTCAAGCGACATGAGCTGGTGCGCGTGGAGTTCGCCAAGCGCATAAACTGTATTAAGCTGCAGAAACAACAGCAGCTGCAGGAGATCAAGAGTCTGGAGAATGAACGAGAAATCATAAGCGAGCGTGCGCACAAGCTGGCGGAACGCTTTGAAGAAATAAGCGATAATCAAGAGATCCTGATGCGCCGTTGCCAAAAGCTGATGCAGGACGCCAATGCAGTGCTGCCCAACAGCGTTTTAGCTGAGCGCGAGTTTGCCTTGGAAGTGGCACGCATCAACAAGACCACCAAAAGCATGGCAGCTGCCTTGGACACGGCTAAGAAGACGTTCAACAAACAACGCTACCACATTGCCAAGTCCCAGGAGATAGCAAAGAGCAACGTCTACGAGCTCCCAGAGAAGCAGCGACGCACCATTACGGAGATCCTTACTCAGCTGTCCAGTGAGATTGATCGTCAGATAACTGATGTGAAGCGAATAAATAAGATTATTGGCCTATGAAAATCCAAAACATCCAATAAGATCATTTTGTATGTGTGCTTTTGTTTAAAATTAAAGCAACTTTATATTAGTATTTTTGTAAATTGTTATTTTTTGGAATATAGGCCCTCTCTAGGCTTTGGCATTTTGAGCATGATGTGTCTTAAAGATTGATTATGTATTTATATTTAATTCAGATTTGGAATACATTGCACTCAAATTTTTTCGATGAGAATCATTTCCCCTTTACCAGATAATTGTTTTAAATCGATTCCTAATAGCAAAATTGGTATAATATTTTAATTTTAAAATGTTTCTTGCGTGGTCTAATGCCAAAATGATAAAAAGTTTGTTATTTAGAGCCCTCAGTTCCCTCATTATACGTTCTTTCTATATTGCACATATTTTCCCATACCTTTCACAAAACTCAACTTATTTTCAGGATTGAACACACTTTTGATCCTGATTTGTCCTTTGGACTGATTCTGTATCTAAATTTTATTTTAATTTGTTTTGAATTTTTAATATGTTGTTTTTGCTGCGCGTGCTTCAAAACTGTAATAGACGGCAAAAAAAAGTCCGAGGTAAACAGAAAAATCGAATAAACATCGGGAATGGGCTTGCTGACGACAATGACGCCGTTAAATAGAAATAAAAACAACTAATTTCACATATTGCCTGGGTTGGACCGTGGGATACGGAGTACTCTTGAGGGCTTCAAAAACAGAACGACAAGGCTTTCCCATATGCAGTACTTTTGGGCAACTCTAAGCAAACGGGGTCTGTTTTATTGAGGGGCCTCTTTAGACTTAGGTATATAATTATATATGCATAGTTGTAGTGTATAGGTATATTGAACCTCGATCGAAAGCGAAAATGAATTTCGCATAGCTAATGAATGGCGCGTATGTATATGCTTATATAGGTGAATTTAAATATGTTTTTGCGTTTCAGTCCCATTCCGCGGCCTGCCATCAGTTGCGAGCGTACCTTTTGGAAATGACATCGGTAATTCTGGCCAGATTGGCATCAATCTGTAAGCAGATGTCCAACTACATCAAAACAAACTCACCCTTTGTGATCGAGGTGCTGATGGTGTCGCTCTGCTTTGGCGCTATAATCAGCAGATATTTAATACTGACCTAGACGGAATATACATATATACAAATATATGTATTCAATCAAACCATGTAAATAATAAAATGAGTTAACGGAAACTTTCTCTAATTAGAACTAATATTGTATTTGTGTGTGAAAATACGAAAAAGTGTCCACAGTGGCAATACATTATGATGGTGCTTAAACCCTAGGCTTCTCAATCAGATGTATATAGAATGCTGGATTCTGCACAACATTCATATCCTTGAAGTCGCCGTACAGCTTGTGCTTGGCCTGGCTACCGAAGATTTCTCTAAGGATCTCAGTGAAACGCTTGAGCTCATGCGGGTAATAGGAGAGACGGAACTCGCTGGCCAGCTTATTGCCTTCGATCTGGTAGTCCATCGAGACCAGAGCTGCCTTGCCACAATAGAATAAAACGGATGTTTTGATGTCCGCCGTATGGCTTGTCTAAAAAAACAATTCAACATGCAAGTCATTCCAAAGGGCGATTAAAACTGTTATGATGACGATGATGATGATGCTGATTTTTTCCAATATTTTAGATGACTTTAAATGAGTTATCAGTGAAACGGTGACTGGGCATGTTGTAAGCCCAAGTCAATGAAATGTGTTGTTTAATTGTTTTTAATTGGCGCCACGATGAAAGTGTGAAACTTACGTTGTAGTAAATGCTCTTGGCTGGCGTGGCGCCTGTCTCGAGGATGTTGTCATAGTTGCGATGATCGATCAGCAGAATGCCGCCTGGCTTCAGGCATTTCTCAAAGTTCTTGATCGCCTGTTTGTGCTCGCGCTGATCGCCAAAGCTGTCCATTAAATGGGCAAAGGAATTGCCCAGACAAATGACCGCATCGAAACCCTCCTGACGATGCTCCCGAATATCGTCGAACAACGTCAGCCAGTTGGCCTCCTCAATAGCTGTAAAAAAAACTAGATCAGATCTGGCTAAAAATATTTAGATATTGCTTAGAGACTCACTCCATTGGTCAAAGGCGGCTTCCTTGCGACGATTCCAGCGCTCCTTCAGCGCGTATTTCAGCATTTTGTCCGAAGCATCAACGGACACCACCTCGAAGCCCTCCTCCAGCAGCATTATTGAGTCAACGCTGGAATGAATCATAACATACATTTATTTGAATGTGCATAAAGAGTCGGTGTGATTCTTGTGGCTTACCCCGTGCCGCATGCCACATCGAGGATGCGTTTGCAGCCCTTCTGGCGCAGCAAATCAACCAGGAAGTTCTTGTAGTTGTCGGTGCGGGAGTTCTTGTCACCAATGAATATCTCCCAGACCTTGGCAGCCTTGCCATCGGCATACTGGTCGCGCACTCCTTCCGCGGAGATGCCCTCCGATCGGGTTACGAACACGCTATCAGCCGAGGTTGTCATTTCAAGTGTTTAGCACTGGCCAGCAGATCAAACTGAAATAAAATTTCGTTGCGAATCCACTTGCCATGATATCTCCGGTGGGTGAATTCAATCACTAACAGCTGGCACACCAGACACACACACACATACATGTTCACTCACCCGTAATCTTATCATTGCGCGTCGAGATTGACCCGTGCTGGCAACGGTTCCGCTGAGCCATGCGAGGCGAGCGCCAAATCAACATCTGCTACACGTTTCGCTCTTTTTTTTTTTGGCGACCTGACACTGACCTTGTGGTGATTAGTTGAGATTACAGTGCCTCAAAATAATAGAAATTATTTGACAACCATACGTCAGACCTTGCTTTTACAGCCAACAACAAGTGTCCTTTTTATGATGCTGTAATGCAGTATGATCTCGCTAAAGCGGACAGTCAAAAACCAGACAGTGTCCGAAGTAACGAGTTGCTTATCGAGATAAGCAACCAAACACTACTCAGAGATTTTTTAAAATTTTTAATAATATATGTTTATTTTAAGGCTTAAGGTGTCTGGTTTTCATTTAGAAGGGCGTGAGTGTCAATGATTAATTAAATTCTTTGTTTAATAGGTTAAAAAATGTTTTTAAATACTTTTAGATCTGAATTGAATTTTTAACATGTATTGGACAGTCATCTTTTCCTTCATATTAATACCCTGTAATGGCTTAAAGCGACAGGCAGATGGTACCTTTTCCGACCCCCATAGATATATTTATTCTCGCACTCTCTAATTGTTGATATTGGTATCTTCTCCTTCAATCGTATCGTCAATAATAATTAATTTTTTTAAAATCGACGCATTTTCTAAAATCCAGAAGAAGTACCCATGGGTTTCAAACATAAACAAAATCTTCCAAGAATTTCTAAATTTTAGAATTATATATATCAGAGAATATAATAGATATACCATAATTTTGGATAATCGTGATCCCTTCCTTTTTTTTTTAAATTACCAAGTGTCCGTATTAATGAGGACGTACTGTACCAAGGGAAGCTAACAACTAGAATCCAGTTGCTCCAGACAAAATGTGCAGAGTATATAATAGATATACCATAAATTTGGATGATCGTAATCCCTTCCTATTTTTTTTAACCAGCAAGTGTCCGTGTTAATGAGGACATACTGTAGCAAAATGCTATACCAAGGAAGTTAACAACTAAAAAATACAAAATTTCATATAAGTTCGTGTTTATTTCAAGCTTAATAAATATTGCACTGCGTTGAAATCTAGGATTATATATTGTTATCATGGTATTCGTATTGCACCTTGTTTTAGTTGAAATTGCAAGTCTTAAGGGATAAATTCACGAGTTCATATATATATAACTAGGTAGTATAAAATTGTAAGAATATTAATAAATGATTACGTTTCGCAAGATAATTAACAGATCAGCTTCAATTATCTTGGGAAACATAAGCTGTCATTATAGTTAGAAAAGATTCTTATAAAAAACTCATGCATGTAGATGTATATGTATATGTATATGTATGTATATGTAGATGCTGTGTATATGTGTGAGTTGTAGCTAACTAAGGGATTTGAGTATTCTATTCAAATTCTATGGCAAATACCCCAGCGAATCCTCGAGCGAGGCGCTGACCACCCGCATTGATTGATAGCTCGCCATGCGGCTTCTGCTGACATTGCTGCGTATCGAGGCGGCTTTCTCCAGGGCCTTGATATTGATCAACAGATCGTCGGCGCTGCAGGATTTCTGTGAGGCGACACTGGAGGTCATGTGCAGCGGCAGGGATAGCGGTATAACCATGCCATTGCCATTGCCATGGCTCAGACGATCCGTGCTAAAGGATTCGCGTGCGCGATACAAGGAACGCCGCGTGGATGCCTTCGAATGGCAGCTGCCATTGTTGGGCCGCACAATGGAAGACTTTTGGCTGTTCATCGGCGGGCAGAGGCTCTTGATGTCCGTCGTCTGACTCAGTTTCATGTCCGCAAAGACAGCGGCCGCCTCGACGCTCTTCTTCACACTGAGCGCCTCGTGCGGCTGCACCGGCTTGCTGTTGCCCCCGATCGTAAAGAGTTCATAGTCCAAGCCCAGCTTCTCCGAGGACTTTGGCTTGCGACTGGACGCACGCGACTTGTGCTGTTGATTGAGTGAATCCTCGCTGACAGTGGCTGCTGCTGCCGCTGCTGCTGCTGCTGCTGCATTGGCGCGCTGTCGGCGATGCGTGCGCTTGCAGTAGCATTTGCTGGCGCTGATGCAGCTGTCCGAATCGCACCAGGTGGTGGTGTCCGAATGTGCATTGGCCGAGTCGTGCTCGAGTGTGCTATTCGGCTCCTCCTCCACCATGGAACAGTAGCACTTCTCATCGGACTTGCACGAAATCAGCGAATGCCGATTGCCAGCCGCCGGCTTGCGAGCGTTGCCCATGGCCATGTTGCGCTCGTTCTTCTGGCGCAGCTTGTGGTTCAGATGCTCCGTGCGCAGGCTGCAATAGCAGCGATCGGCTGAGGCGCAGGTGCAGGATTCGGAATCGTAGCTGCACTCGGAGCACGAGACATAGCTGTTGGCATTTGAAAAATGATCACTAGACATTCAAATTTGAGGCATCCTCAACCATGTGCTCACCCACTACTGCTGTTCCGGTTGAGTCCCTGCAGTGCATGCTCATTGCGCACCACGGACACATCGGAGCCGCTGGTGGCAGCGCGATTGCGCTGATGCTGCTGCTGCGCATGACTTTGGCTGGTTGGTGGGCCAATTATAATGGGCGGCGTCAATCTGAGCTTGTTGGAGCCCTCGTTGGGTTCCTTGGCTTGTGGTTCCTTGGCACGCGCGGACTTGGCCAATTTGCCGCGGCAGGCGCGAAACTGTCCCAGCTGAAAGACCTTCTTCAGGCTCTTGGTGCCAAAGAAGATGCTCTTCGGCTTCTTCTGTAAGGCAGCAGTCGGAGTTAATATTGAGCATAAGTGTGCGTCTTCTAGAGCATCTCACCTGTGAGCCATTTATGCTCGCCTTGCGCTTCTGTTTCTTCTTCTTCTGGCGTCGCATAATGTTCTTGGATCGCTGAAAGAGCTCGTCCTGTGTAAGCGTAACTGCCAGCTTCAGCAGGAACTCTTTGTAGATGGGTTTTAGATCGTTGAAGGACATGCCATCTGCATCGATTATGGCATAGAGTATATCGTCTAGCGAGTGCAGATTCTCGTGCAGTCGAAATTCATTGAACAGTTCGCTGAAACCAAGTGGGGAACTAGAAGCACAATTTAAACGATGCCAATCAACCAAACCAAACCTTTTCACCAAAAATGCTAACTACGTTAGGCCAAGCCACAGGCCAGCGCCAGCTGATGCTTTGGATGCACCCCGCTGCCGCTGGCCCCGCTGGTTAGTATAACTACTCACCCTCCGCCACCGCCACTGCCCAGTTTTCCAGAATTGGTGCGACGCGCCGCTCTCGACTTGTACCTGGTCAGGCCACCTGTGTTCAGAAAACTGCCCGATCTGGGTATGGCCACACGCGTCAGTATGTCCCCATCGCCGGCGGCTGCCACAGCGCCAGCACCCACTAGGTCGCTCAGTTTGCGGCCATTTGGTGTAGGCGTTGAGGGTTGCTTTGGGTGCGCGTGCTGGTGATTCAGGCGATTCACATGTCCGTTGGTGCACACAATGCTGTTGCTGCGGCCCGAGCTGCTTTTGTAGCCGCCCACGTTTGGAGCCGGCACTGGCGGCGCTCGCTTGG